CACCTCTCTGGGTACCTTTTATAATTTACATATTCTATACTTCACTTATTTTGTCAAAAAAAAAAAATAATAATAATAATAATAATAAATAAATAATAATTCATATTACGAATTATATTCGTGTTTTTCATAACATTTTTATTTTTACGATTGCTTTTTAAATTAGTTTTACAATATTATACAATGAACATTGATACGTTTTGATTAACATTATAAATTTACTTTTTAGATATTAATAATTAGTACCTGTTTGTTCTCTGGTCTAAATTGCAGGAACTACTCCAACTACTAGATCTAATAAATCTAAACGTAATTTTTAACAATTTTATGATGATAATAAGATAATATACTTTTCGGTGTATATTTTTAGGTACTTTTCGTCTAACCTTCTTGATTATTTTACAAAAGTTCATATATACAATAAATACAATTTGTATTTAAAAGTAGTTTAGCTTATCTATTTTTTAATTTTTTTGAATACTTTTTGTATAACGCTTATACTATTAGAATTTACAAGTTGTACGTAAGTATATAAATTTAATTTAATGAATTTAAATTTGTTTAAACATAATATAATGTTACGTATGAATTATACAATATTGATGTAATATTTGTTAACTTGTTATATTTTAAATTCAATATGTACTTAGAAACGGTATAAGACACCAAGCTTAAAAACTAAAATGTATACTATATGTATTATATACAATAATAATATCAGTCAAAAAGTCCGAACACATTTTTGGTGTCGGACAAAAAGTCCGAAAATACAAAATTGTCTAATTTGTCATAATAAAATTGTGTAATTGTAATATTTTATTTATTTTATATTTTCTTATTCTTATTTTTTCTTATTCCTTACATAAATACAACAGAAATCCACTGGATTATGATTTTTAAGATACCATATTATAAAACATCGATAATAATTATAATGAAAATAATGAAAATAATAATCTAAAATGAGATATATGTTTTAAAAAATTGTCAATACAAACATTGATCCAAATATAATAATTATAATTATATTTTAAAAAAGTTATGTCTTAAAAAATCTAGTCTACAGTAATAATAATATTTTTTTTTTTTAAAGTTACCTATACGATATATTTACAAATTATATAAATTAATAATTTGATCCATGCATTACGTTTGCCAATACAATAATTATATATGAACTGACTATATATATAATATTACATGTGTATATATACCTACATAATAATATTATATAATATAAGGTACATTTTATTTATTAATGAAAATTGAATAGACAATTTTGTATTTTCGGACTTGTTGTCCGGCAATCAAAAAATGAATCCGGACTTTTAGTCCAACTATTTCTATGCCGCGGACTTTTTGTCCCCGGACTTTTCGTCCGGGAATCTTAAAAAAGAATCACTCTGTAAAAAGTATATACATTATACTTAAAAAATCTAGGGTGTAAGACATAAATCAATTGATTTTAAAATAATATCCATAAAATATTATGTTATTTTTATTCAATGTATATTATAATATTAACAATTTTTTTTTATATATGAATACAGGCAATATAGTATGATAAACTGTGTTAGCATTTTACATTAATTAACATATAACCTGTGTTTTAATAATTTTATATCTATATGTGTGTATATTGTATACAATATGACCAATGTTTAAAAATTTTGAATAATACTCAAGATTTTATTTTTTTTGTATATTAAATTATAATTATTTATATTTTTTATATTTGACCAATAATGTATAAACAATTTTTAAATATTACCTTTATATATGTATATTATTAATACTTTAGTTTGAATCGTTATATATTTAATTATTGTAATTTGACTTTTTTCCGTGGCTTATTTTTCCCATGACTTTTTTTCTGTGGATTTTTTTCTGACTACCAATCACAGATATTGAGTGACCATATCTACAATATAACGTGGACTGTGGAGTATACTGCTAGCATAGTAGCATTAATTATAAATTGTATAGAATACAATGTAAAATAACATCCTAATATTGTATATTCATTAGTCAATGATACAATAATTTATAGAGGTTATGTTATTTTATTAATATTTTTGTAAAACAACTGAATTTTGGACGGATCTGATTTAGTATTACTTAAGGGTCGCCCTCGTCCATATAATCTATTCAAAACTGAATAGGTACAAATATCATCTAGATGATTAGTTGACATCCGTGGAACAATCCTACGCCTTACCCATCCTTACAAAAATGTAATTACCTTCATTAAGAGGATACTACACAACTATTTGTTTCTCCATGTTACAAGTGCATATAACCATAGAATATACCATACCAAATTTACGCAGTACTGCGAAAAAATAACCCCGGAAATTTAGACCCCGAAAAAATAACCCCATAATATGAGTTTTTGCAAATTAATCTCAAATCAATACAAAATGTATAAAACACCTATAGTCCTATTACCTACGTACAATATTGTTATGTTCCCACAAATAATATTAATTTTTAATTCAATGATAAATTATTGTATACCTACGATAAAAACGATTAAGGGCACGATCTGTCTGTCATATCGATATGTCTGTTATATACAATAACTAGGTATTACAGTGACATATTATAACGGATAAGAAAGGTACTACTAACTTTATCTTAAATGTAATGTAATGCGGTAATTTATAAAGTTCGTCAATTTTGTGTGTGTTCATTTCGCTGTACTCGGTACTACAGTGACGTACTACAGTGTTCTTTTGTATATTATATAATTCGCTAAGCATTTGTTTTAATTTATCTTTGAATAGTTATGGATAGTCTAGATATTTTCGAGAGCCAAAAGGCCAGAAGGGCAAAGTACAGTTGGCGTTTAAAAATTTCATGTATGTTGTACACAAAGAGTGTTTAAAATGTTTAAATTCTCGCATTTACATTTCTCGCAACTCTACATCATACGAATTGAAAAATATAGTGAATTTTTTACTGTTCTGTACTGTTTACTTGAAAAAAAGTCAATTTACTTACGAAATAATGCTCAAAGCTATTTTATCAGTCTGCGAAAAGAACAACCTTTTTCCAGATCCGAAAAATATAAAAATAGACTTCGAAAAGGCAGTAATAAATGCAGCAAAAAATGAATTAGGTGAACATTTAATAAGAAACGGATGTTTCTATCACCTCTGCCAGAGTACCCACAGAAAATTGGCAGAATTAGGATTAAAACAAAAATACCAAGAAGATTATGATTTTAATGAATTCTGTGGTATGTTAGATGGCTTGGCTTTTTTGCCAATAAATACAAGAAGGTTACAAGAAGGTGTTGACTATTTAAAATCAATTATTCCTCTTGGTGCCGAGGAAATTCTATTGTATTCCACATTTATAATGAGAATTTTTTATTTATATATTATTGACATTGTATTACAAATTTATACTTTATTATTTACAAACCATTTTTATTAAAGGGTTATTTTTTTGGGGTTATTTATTAGGCAAATCAATTTACGCTCAGCAAATCACGTTTAGCTCTGTTAGTTTAAAAATTAGAATGAATCAACCTAATAATGAAACTTGATGTTAAGAACATTATCTGTGTTTGTATATGGATTTTTGTCGATAGTTCAATTTCGTAGTAAATTATGCGTATATAAAATGTGTAAATTAAAAATATTCATAATTCACTTAAAAACTAAGTGATTGTAAAAAAACCACATAAAAACACAGATAATGTTCTTATCATTAAGTTTTATAATAGGTCAATTTAGACAAATTTTTAAACTATAAGGAATTAAACGTGATCTGCTAAGCGTAAATTTGCTAGGTCCTAGGTTACACACTTGTAATTGTAAGACGGAAAGAAATATGAAACAAATAAAAATCGCTTTACAGTGTTGGAGAAATGTTTGTACCCTGTATAATAAATGCAAATATGTAACATAGATGCTCGATGCATATAAAATATGAGAGCAGATTTCGTTTAGGCTTCAGCACGATTATATGGGGATGGCGGCGAATGGCGACAGTATGGCGGGACAATACTATAGGTACCTCGCTGGACCATTGCTTCTGCACTAAATTCCGGCGATTTATTTATAAAATATTATTTTGCAGGGGAGCGCCGGTCTTTACCTAAACCCATTAAATTTAGTATCGACGTCTTTGTTGCGGTTGCTATTGTACAAAAACACGAACAGGCGCCGAAAATGTAATATGTAGACATAGCGTACTGATTCTATTACAGAAATCGAAAAGACATGAAAAATATTTTTATGATCTATTTTCGTACCGTCAATCATCATAAAAAACACTGTATTAATGTTTGTGTAGGCGGATAGATATAGCCACTGAACCGATCGTTTTAAAATAAAATCATGTTTCTTATATTGCAGCAAATAGGTGTCTAGCCTACGATTTGCAAGTGCAGAAAGAGTCGATAAATCTACCGCGCGGACAATATGTTGTGAATGATGCACTATTTTTTTCCCGATTTTTTTTTAAAAGCGCGTAAATATATTTTGTAATATGCATATATATTGCTGTTTTCTTTTGGTCAACTCCAGCAACATATGCATATCAAAATGAGTAATATTTTGTTCTATGAATTGCATATGATATTGTAACTTGTAAGCCAAAGGACCGGGTCTCGGGAGGGTGAATAATCAGGGAACGAGAAAAGAGTGTGGACAACGTACATCATGTCGAACACTAGTAGTACGCACTTTAAAAGCTGTACATAACATATATTATTGATATGGCGTACTTCACTTTATAAATATATTAATTTATCTATTGAATATCACTTTGACGTTATCTAAAATATATACAATAAAATATAATACCTATGTCGGCGGAGGAAAAAAAGGGAAAATCGGACTGGACCGTACAGGCGCCAGACGGCTGCTCCCACCCGCCTCGTCGCCAAGATGTACAGGCGTAGTACCTAATACCTATGGTACATTCGTATACCTGCAGAGCCGCCGAAACGTGTTGTACCAACTTCGAACTCATGCGCGCGTGCGTACGAACACTACGAACTAGTCCGTTCTCGCTATACTGCGACTGCAATATTGCAATGAAGAAGAGAATTTATAATATTATTTATCGCCGGCGACACGTCTCGTCCGCGATTAACGTTTATTGCGGCGACCACATAATTGTATTTTGATTGTTGTCCATTAATCACACGACGGTTACAGATGAAACACGATCACTGTCCCACGTTCTCATACGCGGCTTTGTTGTACCAGTATAGCAATACTGCTCTGTTTGAAAGTCATACCGCGTGTGAGCTTGTCGTATATAACGGTCGATAAAAGTTTCGTCGTTACCAGAGCCCGCGGTTTGAACTTTGAAATCGAACAAATTATCGGTACGCATGTCTCCAAAAACGCAGTCCCGGTACACCTGCTGAGACGCAAAATCCGGCAACGTCGCAGGCGCGCGCACCGTCAGGGGACCGTAACAAATGTGTGTGTAACACTCCGCTACGACGTTGCCGCAGTTCGCTCCGGAACGTATCCGTCTGAACAGCCGCCACTGTCCACCGTTGGATTCTAATCAATGATGCGCGTTTTCCTTTCTCTCTTCCCCCGAACAACAATAATAACAATAAATAAATAATATAAGAACTTATTAGTTTTTTCTTGCTGTTGTCTKTTCTTCACTTATCTGGTGTCTAAGGTTTCTGGTCTTCGAATATTTCCATTCGTGTGTTTGATTTATTAAATTTATTGATCTCGTGTAATGGAGGTGGACGAGTTCGATTCGGGCCGTTCGTCGTCGACAATTTCATCGATAAACAGCCTGTTCTCGTTTACCAGCCCGGCCGTTAAGAAACTGTTGGGCTGGAAGCAGGGTGACGAAGAGGAGAAATGGGCTGAAAAAGCAGTCGACGCACTTGTCAAGAAACTGAAAAAAACCAAAGGCGCTATTGAAGAGTTGGAAAAAGCACTCAGCTGTCCGGGACAGCCAAGCAAGTGCGTCACCATACCAAGAAGTCTCGACGGACGACTACAGGTACTTAACAATAACACACCGTAATCAAACCGCTTGCCGATATTTAATCAATATTGTGGTAATGTAATTGCTATGTGTTTTATTTTGTTCAGGTGTCGCATCGAAAAAGTTTACCTCACGTTATATACTGCCGTGTATGGCGATGGCCAGATCTCCAAACCCATCATGAGCTTAAACCGCTTGACCATTGTCAATTTCCATTCTCCACTCAAAATAAACAGAAAGATGTTTGTATTAACCCTTATCACTACAAACGTGTTGAAAGTCCTGGTAAGCCAAGCCCTATTTAAGTAAACAAATTTATTGTATTTTTTAAGTATTAACAAAAGTTAAAATCAATAATTGTTTTTTTAATGAAAAAATTGTATTGAATTATTTTTGTTAATATTTCCTCTAAAATTTATAGTAACAAAATTGATGGCAGAAATTTTTAATATTAACTACTTAGTAGGTACATTTATTATTATCGTTGTTTGTGTTATAAGCAGTCCACTTCATTCATGTTAATATGTATATTTCAATTTTGTACTTATCTTATTCACTTATTACCTAATTGAAAGAGATTATCTCGATTCATGATGATATTCACTAAAATATTTTAGTTGTATATTTACCAAGTTTAATATAAACATATTAAAAAATAATTAAACTTACATAGTTACATATTATATTATATTCTAAATAAAGTTGGAAAAAAATTGGTTCTGTAGTCTTGTTGGTTGCCAACTATAGGCCAATCATCTTTCTGAGACTTCACAGTTTTTCTAAATTTATTTCTAATAGAATATACAAATTGTTTAAAACATAAATTACTTACAAATGTTAGAAGTAAAATTATATTAAACTAACAAGTTATATTATTTAATTTTTAGTTCTACCTCCTGTATTGGTACCAAGACAAAGTCAGCTACCCCCTATGATGTTCCGTCAAATGCCGGAAAACCTTCAGTACAATAATTATAATCAAGGACCCAATTCTCCATCATCAAGTCCTCCACCAAATAGTCCCTTTCAGAGCAGCGCTCTATCAGGTGAATAAACTTATTAATAAATTGTAATTAAAACTTGAATTAATAATATACCTATTCATGTTTAAAATATTTTTAGAATTAGGAAGTTCTCCTGGGCCTGATGAAAAAGCTATGAGTCCTGCATCTGGGACACAAGTTTTATATCAGGTAAAATAAAATAACATTTAAAATTAAGTTTGTTGATAAATAACTGACTTAGAAATTGTTTACTCACAGGAACAAGCTAGTTGGGCAAGCATAGCATATTATGAATTAAATAGTAGAGTTGGAGAACTATTTCATTGTCAATCTCCCGTTGTAGTTGTGGATGGTTTCACTAATCCAAGTAATAATTTAAACCGATTTTGCCTTGGACAACTATCCAATGTTAATCGAAATCAAACAATTGAAAACACTAGGCGACATATCGGAAGAGGTAATATAATTAAAGATATATGTAGATCTTATTATGACTGATAATTTATTTAAAATTTCACTTTTTGATTTATTTGATTATCATTCATTTATTTCAAAGAACTTGTTTAAATAAATAAATACTCGTTCAATATTGAGATTTACATAGCCAATGCAGAATTAAAAATAAATAATTATAATTAAAGATATAGAATTAGACATTCAACAAGTAACTAAGTATAAAACAAGAATTTCAGTTAAATTAGGAATCAATACATTTTGAAATCAATAATAAATTGTTGTACCAAATTGATCAAATGTAAACAGTGTTCTATTTTGTTGGAGGTACTGCTAGGTTTTGTATTAGTGGGTTAGGATGATTGAGTAACTTAATGTGTAAACTCTTATAATAGTGTTTTGCTTCGTCTTGAACGGATTTCATTCTGAGATCTAAATGTATGGAGTAGTTAGAGACATAAGGTGGAGCATTAAGTAGTTTCCTTAGTGCAATATTTTGAAAAGTTTGAATTTTGTTGATATTAGATCTTTTAGCATTACCCCATAGCTGTATGCCATATGTCTAGATGGGTTTGATTAGAGATTTGTAAATTAGAAGTTTAGTTTTAATGTATGTGTATTTATTGTTATTGCAAAAAGTTTTTAATAGGCACTATCTAAAGTTTAAATTAAGCCTTTTAGATTTCAAGGAAAGTATTTGTTTGAAAATATTATATTTATATATATATATACTTATAGATTATATATTTACTTTTCATTATATAGAATATAACAAAAATGTATGTTGTTTGCTTGGCCCCTGTTATTTTTCCAAGCTCTTCCATGTACAACTATATACAATTCAATTAAAAATATATCAATAGTGGAAAGCAAAAAAAAAATTTCTAACTATTTTAATTGTTCAAGAAAAATGAAAAACAAAATCGCTAAAAATTTGGTCATGTTGTTTTTAATGTCAAATGGCATTTAACCTTACAAATTAACAATGAAGCTCATATAGTGTATGAAAAATCAGGGCTGATTTTACTAATTTAATTTTTATTAATTGGCATAGCCGTGCATATACAAATAACCACACTAAAACAACCCAACCTTCTCAAATTACTGTGATGAAGAAGTAGATTTGTTTTTAATCAGTAGTTTGTTTTCAATTTAGGTTTTGTATAAAATCTTAACTTCAGCGATATATTGTGTAAATTTATTTAATAAAAAATAACACTAATTATTTAAAAAGATGCTACACACATATTTGTTGTCTTCGTCGTACAAGTGTGTAACATAGCAAATTTAGGCTTAGCAAATCACGTTTAATTTATTAGTTGAAAAATTGAAGTAAATTGACCTATTATGAAACTTCATGGTAAGAACATCATCTGTGTTTGTATGTGGGTTTTTTACAATCAGTTAGTTCTTAAATGAGTTATGAGTATTTTTTATATTCACATAATTTACTACAATATTGAACTATGGAAAAAAAAACCACATACAAATACAGATAATGTTTTTAACATCAAGTTTCATAATTGGTTGATTCATTCTAGTTTTTAAACTAACAGAGCTAAACTTGATTTGATGAGCATAAATTTCTTATGTCATGCACATGTAAAACGGAGACAACAAATGTTTGTGTAGCGTCCTCTTAATCTTAATCTTAAAGTAGTAAATGTTAAATAAATCAATCATTACGTTAAAATGAAATACTTTTTAATATTTATTGTTTTTTATTTAATTTAGGCATTCAATTGCATTACATTGGTGGTGAAGTATATGCAGAATGTTTATCAGACTCAGCGGTTTTTGTACAGTCACGTAACTGCAATCACCATCATAATTTTCATCCATTAACAGTGTGTAAAATACCGGCTGGATGTTCTTTGCGTATATTCAATAATCAACAATTTGCAACTTTACTCACAGAATCTGTGAATTCAGGCTATGAAGCAGTATTTGAGCTTACCAAAATGTGTACAATTAGGTAATTTTTAAAATATTTATTACTGATAATGTAGTAAAATTAAATATAAATGAATGTCTGTTTAGGATGTCATTTGTGAAAGGCTGGGGAGCTGAGTATCATCGACAAGATGTTACTAGCACTCCTTGTTGGATTGAGATACATTTAAATGGACCATTACAATGGTTAGATAAAGTTTTATGTGCCATGGGATCTCCTCACAATGCTATATCATCTGTTTCATAAGCCAGCATGCTTTATAAACTTAATTTTTAGTATCAAGGTATAATTTTTTTTTTATTTTAACTAAACCATCAATATGAGTTAAATAAACCTGTTATATTCAATATTAGTAAAATAATTTTACTATAAAATACCAGGTACTTTTATATTAAATAAACTTATGAAATTTAACTTTTTGTAAATTAAAATTAGTTTTATTTAGCTGTACTATATGTTTGGTGCTCGCTTTTCTTATAACTATATTTTTTTTTTTATTATTATTATTAAAGACCATTTATTTGTTGTTTTTTTTTTTACCCTAAATTTTTAAAGCTTTTAAAAAAAATAAAATAATTAAGTGATATACAAAATATATTCCTATAAGATTTATTTGTCTTATTAATTATGTAAACATTTTGTAAAATATGGCCATATTATGCTCTCTATCAATAATATTTTTTGATAAATAATTGCTGGTAACTAAAATATAATCTCACTATGATGTTGCAATATTACATAATTACTAAAACTTGTTTTACACCTTCCAAGTACACATAATAAAAGAATCAAATAAGATGTCAAATTATGGAGGATAATTTTATCTAGATCTGTTACAAATAAACAAATGTTTGATATTTTTATTAACTAGTTTAATAGTTTTAAGGATAAAAACTTAAATCACTAAAAATTAATTGTAAAATACKGTTTGATTGAATTGGCATATCGACTATAGATTTTCTTATGAATGTAGATGAAATTCTCTTCCATGATTTTATTGCAGGTAATTTTACTGTTAAACCTTTATATATATATATCTTATTCTTGGAAGGCGTAAAGAAAATTTTTCCGTAAAAAAGTGTACTTAATTTTTTTCTGAGCGAATATAATTTTTAATGATTATTTATTGTATCATATAATATGCAAAATAATTATTATGTCTAGAAGTTAAATTTTCTGCCATTTTCTTTTCAACCTATATTGCACACTGTTTGTAAATTACATATAAGTTATATTGTTCAAATTTTGTTACTAATAATTATTTTAGTAAATTATATTTACTCATTCAAAATGTTCATCTTAGTTTGTTTATTACGTATTAAATAAATAATGGTATGCTACTTACAATGATAGTAAATTATATACAGAGTGTTTTATGACATTTTTTCTATGCTTCTTGTTTTTAAATAGCGAGTGAACAATGTTATTTTGTAGTGCCTCAAGAGGAATAACATAAACCAATCTGTAAGTTAATAATTTTATAAAGTCGTTATTATTTTATAGTAGGCGTGCAATATGAGAATATTTCATAAGCTGTATATTTATATTGTTGAATTTTTAAATAAGAGTTTGTTCAATGTTCCCAACTCGTTCAGTAATGTAATATTTATGTTTGGTTTATTATGATATTACATTTATTTTTTTGTTGTAAACATTTTTTCTAGACGTTTTAGTTTATTGTCTACAAATATTATATATAAATATATTATTATGATCTTATTTTATAAATATTTTAAATGTAAACCATATTTTTTGTGAAAAGAAATATATTTTGCTAGAAAGACAATTTTTTTCCTTGTGATTATTTTTTTTTCTCTCGCGCTTCAAAAATTAAATCGTGAATAGTTGTTATTAATTAATAACTTTATTCATGTTACACTGCTTGATAAACAAAATATATCGACTCAAAAACATTTTTATGGTGAAAACTGCCATACTAAGTTATTAATTGCATTTAAACAACAGTCAATGAGTGACGTTTATGACCCCATTGACTACACGTTTTTTTAATTACTCAATGTCAAATGAACAAGACAAGTCAAGTATCGGTTTTTTAATTAATATTTTGTTTCCGTTTTTCTTCCGCACTTTGGTCGTAACCTCGTCAGTGGACGGCGAACCACCAACGAACAACACTACTCACAGCCGAGGACTTGACGTGATAATGTTATCCGTGCTGTCGTTCTTAAGCTTTGCGATGTCCTTGGTTACTGCAGGTATGACGTCATTAGCCGACGAGGTTTCGATGTCGCTGGCCACTGCCCAAAATAATGGCAGCGGCGGATACGCTGCCGAGGTATTCGAGTGCTTGGCGAATGTGACGCGTACTTACTTTGACCGTCGTACCGTTTACATGTACTTCCGGCGGTCAGGAACAGCGGAGTACGCGACCGCGGTTGACGCGTTTGCTATGGCCGTGCAAAGCCCCAAAATCATTGTGCCGTATTCGTCGTTCACCGCGGACTCCCCGCCGCAGCAACAGACAAAAGGCGGTGTGTTCGCGTTCCTGGCCGAGGACAGGCTGTATACGCAATTGCTGAACGCCACGCAGCAGAGCCACTTCGTTGCGGTGTGGACGAGGCAGATACCCATGAACAACATCCGGCGCACGTTCATGCACTTCTGGAAAGGAGGCAAGCACGTAAACGTGGTTGGGCTTGTCCGGATGGACAGCGGTGGCGTGAACGCGTATACATACCGGCCGTTCTCTTACTACGGTTGCAACAAGCTGGGCCGGCCGTTTCTACTGGACCGGTGGGCGAATGGGAAGTTCAGGGTGGGCGCCGACCTGTTCTCTAGCAAACCGAAGACCAGCAACATGCTCGGCTGTCCACTGCGGTGTGCCGGCAATGAACACCCACCCGACACGGTGTTGCGGCCCGGCGATGGGACTGCAAAGCACCCGGTTTGGACCATGTCGGGCGTCGGTGGCAAGGTGCTAGAGATCGTGGCCAGATACATGAACTTCACGCCGATCATCATGTCACCTAAGGGCAATGTGTCTGAGATGTTCAGTTGGTACAATAGCGCTGAAGTGCTCGACAACATAACGGCCATGCTATACTCAGAGGAGGCTGACTTGGCATTCGGATGGTACTCGTACGCCACGCACAACAATGCGTACAACACAGAATTGGCTCGGACCACGAGTATCGACTGTCTGGGATGGGCCGTTCCYTACCGGGCTGGCCCTCCGCCGCAGTCTTGGACCAATTACGTTAACGAGTTTGATAAAATCGGATGGTTGTTCATCGGATTGATGTTCGTGATTGTTGTCGGTAATTGCGTAATTTAGTATATAGTTATTTTTAATTTTACCATTAWGATTTACACTACATTTTTGTTTTACTTAAAATGTATGAATCTATTCCTCGGGCACGCCACCGAGGAGGAACTAGGGGAGCCTRACACACTAAGAAAAGTTAGTGGCTCCAAATTGGCCCCATAATTTTATTTATRAATATTTTAAATTTTATGATGTTTAATCGTCCCGAATCTCGGATGTATAATATTATAGGTACTATATTATGTATAAAATAATGACAAATGTAATTTTTAAATATTACAAATATCTCCTAGCTCTACATATTTACATATTTTGTTTTAAAACCTACGACCGTGACTTTAATACTAAAAAAGTTGTATTTTCGTCATTTTAAGTTCTGGAGCCCAACAACTTGAACAATTTTAAATCTTCCTTTTTTACATCAGCACAACATATTTTTGTTTAAAAATAATTCCAACAAATGTCCAATAACACCATAGTAAGTTCAAGAATATAGTTATTCTAAGAATGGTTTTAGAATTTAAATTAATGTGCAAATTTTGTAGTTCCAGGATCAGAGTATATAAACAGTGCCYATCAAATTAGCTCTAAATCGTTAGGTTTGGGATTTTAGTTTTAATATTGTTTAGAGATGGTCAAATTTCAAAACTATCTTAAGATTTTTAAAATGGTCAACATTCCAAAACCAAAATATGACCTGTGGGCAGACGGATGACCTAACAAGTAATTTTAACCTTGGTGGTTAAAGTAGRTAACATAAGTATGGTGGCTCCCWTCGCCTATCGGCTCCGGTCGCCAGACTCGATGGCCGTTAGCATGGTCACTCGCTTAAAAGTTATGTCAATTAAAAGTTGCAGTGATTACGCATGTATCGGCATACGCCGCTACGCTCCACGGCTCATTATAAAGCAGTGTTGCGCGCATGCGTATTAACGTAAAATCGCAAACTTTGGATGGCTATAACTTCCAAAATAATGGCGTCCGCGCTGTTTTTTTTTTGCACCATCGTTCTTAACTCGCAGAAATGCGTATATTTCGAAAAAAAATTCAAAAAATGTGCTGGGTAGTTATAAAGTGAATTTATGCCTAAATCTTAGCACTAATAAGTACCTAATAAAGTAATAACATTCATTTATCACGTATTCACGTATCGTACGTATATAATCTGCAACAGCGGTCCCAACTACTACGCGGCCGTTTAAAAAATTTAATACAGCCTGCACAAAAATTAAATTGTACATTCTGAACTCCAAAATCAAAAGTTCAAGAAAAAATCTCTTTGCCAACGAAATATCCTGTCACAATATTATTGTTATTATTATTTTACTATTCTGCACTAAATTCAGTGAACACTTGTACATTTTACCATGATGTGTTTTTTTTTATATTTCATGATATATCATCACGTTTTGGGGCAGTAAAATTGCTTCGATTTTTGTCTTCAGTACCTCGTTCGATCAGAAAGTGAATCTAGTTGGTACTTTGG